TGTTACCTTGGCACGCAAAGCCTCGCTCCTCGTAGCCAGCATTGCACAGGCACTTCCCTATGGGCACCAGCCACTCCCCCTCTGTGCTGCAGTACATCTTGGGGGGCTCCTCCTCCCTGGAGTGGTTGACACAGGAGCCCCGCACCTCCACCAGCGACTGCGAGTCCATGGGCACCGTGTCGGGGAACATGGCCAGGTTCTTGACGGTGAAAGGGCACTTCTTGAAGTACACCCGCACCGACACCAAGGCGACACAGGCACCCACGTCCTGGAAGGCCAGGTAGAAGCCCTTCCTGCTGATGGGCCCCACCTCGCGCACTTCCGTGTTGAGCTTGAGGATTCTGTCGCCGAGGTCCATCTGGGTGAAGCTCTCGTCGGCCGCGATGGTGTCGATCTTCGTGAACTGGTGCTCCTTGAACTTGACCGAGTGGTCGTCGTCGGACTCCATGTAGTACAGGTTGAAGGTCTCCTTGCAGGTGCCCAGGACCAGGGGGATGCTGTTGCAGTCCCTCAGGGTGAACTTGAGCTCCACGTAGATCTTCTGAGCCGAGTTGCGCGGAATCCAGTTTGTCCTCAGCCAGTTGTTCTGGCTGTGATCCATGACATTGCACACCTGGTAAGTTCTGATGGGGGTGTAATGCTCATCGACACCACTAATCTCTTCCCACTGGGGGGAAAAAAAAAAAAAAGAAAAAAATATTTTAAGATTAACGATTATACCAATAAAAATGACACCTAAACGAGGAAGCAAAAATGACTTTGCTTGGATGTCGCTATAAAATAGACAATAAAGTCTGACTGAGCTTGCACACAGTTTTTTCTTATTAAAACATATAAACATCTTAAGTGGACACAGAATTCACCATTAATAAGTCAGTTTTTACCAAGTTATTTCAAGGTGGCATGATGTTCTATCTGTTTGTCAATATTAAAAACCTGTGATTTCTCAGACTGTACCCCAGTGCTGTCCTTTCAACCGCGATTCCAGCGTGTCCTTCAACTACACTCACCTGAAATGGAAGAGATTCACAAGGGCACCGCCACATTTTCACTGTTAGAACCAGT